ATTCTGTTTGCAGTTTGCCACAAGCCATGTAGGGGACACAGCAAACATGTGAAGGTTCTCTGGTCAGATGAGACCAAAATTGAACGTTCGAAGGTCGTCAGAGTTGATGGAAAGATGGATGGAGCTAAATACAGGGCAATCCTGAAAGAAAACCTGTTAGAAGCTGCAAAAGACTTGGGACTGGGGTGGAGGTTCACCTTCCAGCAGGACAACGACCCTAAACATACAGCTAGAGCTACAATGGAATGGTTTAGATCAAAGCATATTCATGTGTTAGTCAAAGTCCAGACCTAAATCCTATTGAAAATCTGTGACAAGACTTGAAAATTGCTGTTCACAGACACTCTCCATCCAATCTAATTGAACTGGAGCTACATTGCAAAGAAGAATGGGCAAAAATTGCAGTCTCTAGATGTGCAAAGCTGGTAGAGACATACCCCAAAAGACTTACAGATGTAATTGCAGCGAAAGGTGCTTCGACAAAGTATTGACTCAAGGGGGCAGAACACATATGCACACCACACTTTTCAGATTTTTATTTGTAAAAAATCTTGAACACCACGTATCATTTTCCTTCCACTTCACAATTACGCAATACTTTGTGTTGGTCTATCACATAAAATCCCAATAAAATACTTTTAATTTTGTGGTTGTAATGTGACAAAATGTGGAAAAATTCAAGGGGTATGAATACTTTTGCAAGGCACTGTATGTTTCAGGTAAAGCTATATTAAGCAATAGATTGTAAATTAACAAAAAAAAAAAAAAGGTTACCTCTTTAATCAAGTTAGCCACATAAAGTGCTGTCAGCGGTGTCTGTTCTGCAACTTTCATCACCACTGTGTTACCAGTTGCAAGGGCAGGGCCAAGTTTCCAGGCCTGCATCAACAGAGGGAAGTTCCACTACATAAAGAGAAGAGAAAAAGATCAGAAGTAAAGATACTGCCATTCTACAAATATTTGTTCCATTTCCCATTCACTTCTGTTCAGGCCATGTGATGAATGGCATTTCCCGTTTTAGTGTGAGCTCAAGATACTCTAGCAGATTAACAGGTCAGAGTTCACCTCTGCTCAACACTGACTGAGCAGATGTGCTCAGTCAGCCTACAAAAACACTGCTGCACTCTGTTCGGAAATGGAGATGTTGCATATTATTCTAACTTGTTATTCACTTTAGTTTTTCTCAACTGCTAACATTTCTTGAATTTTCCATCCATTTTGCAAAACTGTAAACACAAAACCCAATTTTCAGACTACATTCGCAAAACCTCTGACTCTTAAAATCAGCTGCCTCAAAACAGATTTAGCTGTAAATAAAAGCACTAGCACTCATTTCACTCTGCATTAAAAAATGGAAAACTGTCTTCAGGGTATGTAGCTCTGGAAAAAAAAGGTTATCGTTTATAATAAACTAAATTTATTTTCTTTCTTAAATATTTTTCCATTTCTGATCTTCTATTTCCCCTTTGGATCTTAAAGGATTATCTAATTCATTTTTACTGTGTAAGGCCATAAATTGCTGCTCAGAATATAAAGAATATAGTCATTGCACAAAGGCACAAATAAACATAGTTTAATCAGTAGTTTATCTAGCTTTGTTGAATTGTATCAAAGTTTATGGTAATTAACTTTTAATGACCCCTAATACAAACATGTGTATACAGTACTTTATTTTTACTCCTAAGGCACATTCCTTTGGTTGATTGCACATTACTTCTTAACTTCTGTTCTCAGTCTGTTTCAGACTGTTTACTTGCCCGTTGCTGCCTTACATAAGGACATGTACATACGCATTGAGAGCCACTGTACCAGAGTCAAATTCCTCATGTGTCCAACACACCTGGCCAATAAAGGTTCTGACATACCTCACTCAACACACACACACACACACACACACACACACACACACATATAGTACAGTTCCATTGACATAAAAACTGCAATAAAATATTGGAGTAACAGGAGCTGGCACTTTCCAAATGAATTGTTTGCTGTATTTTGCTGGAAAAAGAAAAGACTTAATTGAAGAGAAAATGTAAAAGGAGCTATAGCTGGGCTTTGAACCAGAAAAAGCAAGACTGGCATGCATACAAATACAATGCCCTAGCCTAACAAGGCCTATGCTAAAAGTGCATAGCAAAAAAGGTACAATGTAAATGCTGATTTTTTAAGCAATGTAATTTTTAACAAACCTGTTAAAGTGCCACGCAGTGGTGCAGTTACACCAAATAGTGCATGGCAAATTAACAACTCATCCTAGTAGAGATGAGCCTGTGGAGCAGAGATTTCGGTATTGGGTGCAATATTGACGTCTTTCACTCATCAGAGATTGGATCGGTTTAATGGAGCAGAGAGCATCTGTTTTCTTATAGATTTAGGAGACATTTGATAGCTGGTCACGACAAATGCTGGGGGGGAAACAAGAATCCATTTTTCATATTTTGGATGGAACCTGTCCGCCGTGGAGATTACACCTTAGTTATGGCTATAACATTCACCCTGTGACAAATGGCTCCTTATTCACATTGTCATTCTGCCACACCAGAAAATAAAGTCAGTCTAACATTTTATCGTCTGGGCAATTAGAGCTGTCACGTAGCCAGAAAAGTGTTTACATGGCCCTCAAAACAAGCTACAACTTAGCCGTACACATGCATGCGCACGCATCACAGGTGTGTTCCGGTACTTCATCAAATAGCACCACACCACTGATAATAATGTGACAGCAGTCAGATTAGGTGAAAATTTCAATCTGCATTTTAGTCAGATACCCAAGTGTTTATAACATTCACCAATTTCAGTTTGAGAACCCTGAAGACTTTGAATATAAGCAGTGAGCAGGACACTATTACAGTGCCTATGGCATGCTCATTTTGCTCATTTCCAGCTATTTAATGTTTAATCTTGGGTACCTCTAGATTAGCTTGGCACCCCTCATAACTCCAAATAGTCTATTTCAGAACGATAAAACCAGAGAGCCTCTTCCTAAAAATGAGGATAGTTCATGATCGCGCACAACTCCTGTTGCCAATGTTGTGTCACAAGTGGACAGCACACCACCATTAATTAATTTGAATTTCTCCTCCATAGATAGGTAAACAGTATATGTACCAATGAAAAGAGATTTGTAACACTCTAAAAGAGGGCAATTCAGAAACCCCATATTTTAACTGGCATAATGGAGACATAGTAACTTCTCCAGCCTTAAAACAATTCTCTCTAACATTACATCAACGGAAACATCACTCCCTTTCAAGTACAGTGCCTTGCGAAAGTATTCGGCCCCCTTGAACTTTGCGACCTTTTGCCACATTTCAGGCTTCAAACATAAAGATATAAAACTGTAATTTTTTGCGAAGAATCAACAACAAGTGGGACACAATCATGAAGTGGAACGAAATTTATTGGATATGTCAAACTTTTTTAACAAATAAAAAACTGAAAAATTGGGCGTGCAAAATTATTCAACCCCCTTAAGTTAATACGTTGTAGCGCCACCTTTTGCTGCGATTACAGCTGTAAATCGCTTGGGGTATGTCTCTATCAGTTTTGCACATCGAGAGACTGAAATTTTTGCCCATGCCTCCTTGCAAAACAGCTCGAGCTCAGTGAGGTTGGATGGAGAGCATTTGTGAACAGCAGTTTTCAGTTCTTTCCACAGATTCTCGATTGGATTCAGGTCTGGACTTTGACTTGGCCATTCTAACACCTGGATATGTTTATTTGTGAACCATTCCATTGTAGATTTTGCTTTATGTTTTGGATCATTGTCTTGTTGGAAGACAAATCTCCGTCCCAGTCTCAGGTCTTTTGCAGACTCCATCAGGTTTCCTTCCAGAATGGTCCTGTATTTGGCTCCATCCATCTTCCCATCAATTTGAACCATCTTCCCTGTCCCTGCTGAAGAAAAGCAGCCCCAAACCATGATGCTGCCACCACCATGTTTGACAGTGGGGATGGTGTGTTCAGGGTGATGAGCTGTGTTGCTTTTACGCCAAACATAACGTTTTGCATTGTTGCCAAAAAGTTCGATTTTGGTTTCATCTGACCAGAGCACCTTCTTCCACATGTTTGGTGTGTCTCCCAGGTGGCTTGTGGCAAACTTTAAACGACACTTTTTATGGATATCTTTAAGAAATGGCTTTCTTCTTGCCACTCTTCCATAAAGGCCAGATTTGTGCAGTATACGACTGACTGTTGTCCTATGGACAGAGTCTCCCACCTCAGCTGTAGATCTCTGCAGTTCATCCAGAGTGATCATGGGCCTCTTGGCTGCATCTCTGATCAGTCTTCTCCTTGTATGAGCTGAAAGTTTAGAGGGACGGCCAGGTCTTGGTAGATTTGCAGTGGTCTGATACTCCTTCCATTTCAATATTATCACTTGCACAGTGCTCCTTGGGATGTTTAAAGCTTGGAAAATCTTTTTGTATCCAAATCCAGCTTTAAACTTCTCCACAACAGTATCTCAGACCTGCCTGGTGTGTTCCTTGTTCTTCATGATGCTCTCTGCGCTTTAAACGGACCTCTGAGACTATCACAGTGCAGGTGCATTTATACGGAGACTTGATTACACACAGGTGGATTCTATTTATCATCATTAGTCATTTAGGTCAACATTGGATCATTCAGAGATCCTCACTGAACTTCTGGAGAGAGTTTGCTGCACTGAAAGTAAAGGGGCTGAATAATTTTGCACGCCCAATTTTTCAGTTTTTTATTTGTTAAAAAAGTTTGAAATATCCAATAAATTTCGTTCCACTTCATGATTGTGTCCCACTTGTTGATTCTTCACAAAAAATTACAGTTTTATATCTTTATGTTTGAAGCCTGAAATGTGGCAAAAGGTCGCAAAGATCAAGGGGGCCGAATACTTTCGCAAGGCTCTGTAGCTCCAAGGTCAGGAAGTCAAATCAGTGGTTGCTGCGTCTTCCCCCACACGACCACAGTCCCAAAGTAGTGAAATTAATTTCAACAGGTAGAGTAGCACTGACGATAACATCATGGCTTCTTAATCCCCTCATTACCCAGCAGCATATCACATGCAGCAGACATACTGGCCTCAATCAGTCAAAACAAACAGGTACTGTGCTCCAGGGGAATCCAGCATTGATGAGCGGATCATTTACCACCATGGGGGATTCACAGGTCAACTACTTGTAGGTTAGACCCACTCAGGTATAACAGCGGGTGCCTGTACATGAACATTCCTAGACATCCAGTAACTTCAGGTCCTGTCTTTTTCTCTACATCCTCTGGTTACAATGCAGCAGGAGGGAAAATATATCCACAAAATCATGCTGTCGAAAAATTCCACTTTTACAATGGCACTTTGTTGATTTTTTTTTTTTTTTTTTTTTTTTTAAATAAGCTTCATTGAAAACATACATAAAAAACAAGGCAATATAATATTTTGTTAAAATGGTGGGGGCACCAATGGATATCAGGCAAGTTCACATGAACGCACAACAGCCTGGAGATTATGACCATTCAAGGAAATCCTTAAACTGTCACTTAATACTTTATTTTGTCAGGAAAAAAAAACTATCATGAGCTAGAGTTTGTGAGTTGCTTCTGCACAGAAGTAGTAGAACATACGTACACCTCATTTTTTGGAGGTCACATTTAAGATGATAAATTACCATTGTAACATTGTAGGCAAGTCAAAAACCAAGGAAAAGTGCATCCATCCATCCATTTTCTAAACCGCTTAGTCCCGAACGGGGTCACGGGGGGCTGGAGCCAATCCCAGCCAGCTGCGGGCTGCACCCTGGACAGGTTGCCAGTCCATCACACAAAGACAAACAACCACTCACACCCACACCCACACAATCACTCCTACAGGCAATTTAGAGACACCAATCAACCTATGCTGCGGGAGGAAGCCGGAGCACGCGGACAGACCCATGCAACAGAAAGGCCCCGGGTCGGCCAGGGCTCAAACCCGGAAACTTCTCACTGTGAGGCAACAGCACTAACTACCGCGCCACCGTGCAATGGGCTCTTTAAGTGACTTTGCCAATGGAGAACATTTTATTTTTATTCAGACTTCACACATTCTCTCTCTCACACGGTCTAGTCTCAAGCTACTCTCTCTGTGTATCTGATTAAATGTAAATTAAAACTATATAAAACCTTTGTGTAGTTCTTAAGGACTGCTTAAACCTAAACAAACTTTTTAAAATGTTTATATGCCCTAAAACGTCACATCTACTGTACTAACTGGTGTATGTGCACAGTTTGGCACTAACTAGGTGTTTTCACATTATTCTGCTGAAGCAGATAGGGTCAGTCCACTTCCTAAAAATCCTGATTTCAAATGTCTGCAGGCAATCCAAGTTTATGATGGCACAAATCTGAAAGCCAATCCACAGCTCACTATGCAAATGCATAGTTCAACATGAGTGCTTGCTAAAATTTGATACCTCTGACCTGGGATCACTAACTTTTAAGTGATTGGAGTGTGTTCGCTAAAGTTGACTGTTGACAGTCAATTTTATCCAATCTCAATAGAAATTGAATAAAGTTTATATAACAGTAAAAACATGAGTAGCCTGGTAGAGCTATACAAACCCTATTTCCAGAAAAGTTAGGACATTTTCCAAAAAGCAATAGAAACTAAAATCTCTGATTTGTTAATTCACTATAAAAAAAAAAAAACTCATTTCTGAAGAAATTACGCCGTGACAGCTCATATACTGCTAAGAAGTTGCTGAGTGTTGAAATGGTAACGCATTAAAGATACAAAAGTGGAGACAAACAAAAAATTACAAAAGAACCCAGAAAAATAGAGAAAAGTTGAAAGAAAAAACAAGGAAGGAGGGAAAAAAGAAAATACTGTAGCAATGAAAGGAAAGTTGAAAGAAAGGTAACAAAGCAGCAAGGAAGGATGGAAGGAAAAAAATAATGATAAAGAACCTCCCTCACCGGTATGATCTGTCCACAAACTCCGATGGGTTCATGCCTGGTGTAGCAGAAATAATCTCCATCAATGGGGATGGTCTTTCCCTCCCATTTGTCAGCCCAGCCTGCATAGTACCTAAACATAACAACTAGTTTAAACATGTTAGTACAATACCTTGGTTTTACAAAGGCTTTTCCCCCAAAAGTTAAAAGCAGAGCTACTAAGAGTCATGTTCAACAATACCAGCACTCCTGCATTGTCCAGTCCATTTTTGGAGTTGTGTGGAATTTATCAGATTTGGCTTTTTGTCTGATTTTGTTTTGTTCCAATGAAAACAAAAGAAATAAGCTTGAGAATATCAAAGAATCTGTGATTGCAACATTTTTCTGGGAGAACTGGTAAATTATGTGGCAGAAATGCAGGGGGTGCCAATATTTTTGGCCGTGACTGTATGTCTAATCCTTGAGATTACACTAAAGAGCTAGATCAATCAGTATATCAAAGACAATGATAAGTAGTAGCAAGGCTGTGTTATATCATGATTGCATTTTAGAACTTGTCTTAAAAACTTTGAACTTTCTTATGGCCAAAAAGACAGACAGGGAAGTTTTTTTAAAAAATGCCATAAAACCCTGTGCTGTGTGTTTGTTACCTGAGACATTTCACCACATGAGGCACATCCACGGAATAAGAAATTGTATATGGCTTCCCATTGTCAAGGGTCTCTAGTTCCTATGGTGAAGACAACATAATTTTTAAATGACCTGCATACTTCCATGCACAAAACTGAAGCAATTAAAGTTGTACACCAGCTGGTTGGCAAGGCTGTGGGCTCTGGCTCGGAAGGTAGAGCGGGTCGTGTATGTGTATATATATACACAGACGTGGACAAAATAGGTGGTACCCTTCTGTTAAACAAAGAGAAACTCACAATGGTCACTGAAATAACATGAAACTGACAATAAAGATTTACTGAAAATTAACTAATGACAATCAGTCATTGCTTTTGAATTGTGGTTCAACAGAGAAAAAAAAAAAAAAAAAAAAAAAAAAAACTAATGAAACTGGCCTGGCCAAAAATGAAGGTACTCTTAACTTAATATTTTGTTGCACAACCTTTTGAGGCAATCACTGCAATCAAGTGATTTCTGTAACTCCCAATGAGACTTCTGCACTTGTCGACAGGTATTTTGGCCCACTCCTCGTGAGCAAACTGCTCCAGCTGTCTCAGGTTTGAAGGATGCCTTCTCCAGACTGCATGTTTCAGCTCTTTCCACAGATGTTCAATAGGATTTAGATCAGGGCTCATAGAAGGCCACTTCAGAACAGTCCAATGTTTTCTTAGCCATTCTTGGGTGTTTTTAGCTGTGTGTTTTGGGTCATTATCCTGCTGGAGGAGCCATGACCTGCAACTGAGACCAAGCTTTCTGACACTGGGCAGCACATTGCGCTCCAGAATGCCTTGATAGTCTTGAGATTTCATTGTACTCCGCACAGATTCAAAACACCCTGTGCCAGATACAGCAAAGCAGCCCCAGAACATAACTGAGCCTCCTCCATGTTTCACAGTAGGTACAGTGGTCTTTTCTTTGTATGCTTCATTTGTGCATCTGTGAACATAGAGCTGATGTGACTTGCCAAACAGTTCCAGTTTTGTCTCATCTGTCCAAAAGGACATTCTCCCAGAAGCCTTGTGGCTGGTCCATATGTATTTTAGCAAATACCATTCTCGCTTTTTTATGAGTTGCTTTCAACAGTGGAGTCCTCCTCGGTCGTCTTCCATGAAGTCCACTGTGGCTCAGAGAGCGACGGATAGTGCGATCTGACACTGATGTACCTTGACCTTGGAGTTCACCTCTAATCACTTCGGAAGTTGTTCTGGGCTCTTTGGTTACCATTCGCATTATCCGTCTCTTCAATTTGTCATCAATTTTCCTCTTGCGGCCACGTCCAGGGAGGTTGGCTACAGTCCCGTGGACGTTAAACTTCTGAATAATATGCGCCACTGTAGTCACAGGAACATCGAGCTGCTTGGAGATGGTCTTATAGCCTTTACCTTTAACATGTTTGTCTATAATGTTCTTTCTAATCTCCTGAGACAACTCTCTCCTTAGCTTTCTGTGGTTCATGTTCAGTGTGGTACACACCATGATACCAAACAGCACAGTGACTACTTTTCACCCGCTAAATAGGCAGACTGACTGATTACA